GCTGTGGTCCTGACCCCCCTGGGGGACCCCTCGATTTCGGCACCGGGGGGGGGGACCCTTCTCTGTACACATCGTTCATGTCAAATCGTGCTCATTTCTAACCGTGCTCGTTTCTACTGGTTCCTGGCCCCCCATGGTGGCCAGGAAGAGGCCCAGGATAGCACAACCAGCAAGGAAAGGATCTCGGCCCCCCAGCAAAAATCAAAGACCTCTCGAAGACTTCGCCCTGCACAGTGCGCGTGGGTCCTGGAAGGCCAGGAGCAGCGCGGCGATCAGCAGCACGTTCGCCGCGGCCAGGGCCTTCACGGCGGGCGCCGCCATGGCGGCGGGCTCGGCCTGCCGAGCCGGCCCGGGCCGGAGCTCGCGGGGGCCGCGGCGCGGCGCCCGCCTCGGCCCCAAGCGGGGGCTGGCAGGGAGAGGAGACAAGGCGAGCGAGGGAGCGGGCCACGACGGGCACTGGCCATCGCTCGGACCTCCATTTCCTGTGTGTTTTTTCGGTTTCGTGCGTGGTTTTTTCGCGAAATGATCAAAGATGCTCCTGGATGGTCCTCGCCGAAGGAAAAATGCACACGTCCGAGCGATGCCAAGGACAGGTGTCCGGGCCCAGCTGGGGCCCGGGTGGGGAAGACCATGGCCTCTTGGATCTGGCACGCACGAGGAAGCACAGACATACATCGGAACTGCGAGACTGCGAGTCACCACCTGCATCACCATTGTCATCATCATCATCATCATTATCATCATTATCATCATTATCATCATCATCATCATCATCATCATCATCATCATCATCATCATCATCATCATCATCATCATCATCATCATCATCATTAGCAGCATCAGCATCAGCATCAGCATCAGCATCAGAATCACCATCAGCATCATCACCAGCATCATCGTCACCATCATCAAAATCAGCATCATCATCGTCGTCACCATCACCATCATAACCATCACCATGATCATCGTCCTTTCCATACTTATCACCATCGTCAGCAGCAGCATCATTACTATCATTATCATTTGCAGCATCACTACTACCATCCCAATTACCATCGTCACCCTGAAAATTCTCAGCTTCACCATCATCACCACCATCGTAACCTTAATCCTGATCGCCACCACCATCATCACCAGCAGCATCATCACTATCATATTTATGATAATCGCCAGCATAAGCATCACCATCATCATCATCACCATCATCGCCACCACCATCAACATCACTATCAGCATTGTTACCCTCCCCTGCATCACCATCATAATCACCATCACCATCATCCTCGTCACCGTCAACACCATGATCACCATGAGCACCATCACCGTCATCATCATCATCATCATCACCATCATCACCATCATCACCGTCATCACCATCATTACCATGATAATCACCCTCACCATCATCACTAAAGACAGCATCACTGTCATTACCACCATGACCAACATTAGCATCAGCTGCATGATCATCCTCATCAACACCACTATCACCACTAGCATCATTACCATCATCATCACCACCATCATCATCACCATCACCATTATCATCACCATATCCATCATGAGTATCATCATAAGCATGACCACCATCATGTACTTCACATGCACCATCATCGCAACCACCATCACCGCCATCATCGTCGCCATCATTAGCTTCATCACCATCACCATCATCGCGACCATCACCGTCATCATCATCATCATCATCACCAATATCATCAACACCACCATCATCATCATCATCACCATCATCACCATCATCAACATCATCATCACCATCATCACTATGATCACCAACACCATTACCACAAGCATTATCAGCACATGTACCATCGTTACCACCCTAATCATCACCATCACCATCGGCAGCAACATCGCCATCATCACCATCGTCATTATCCTCTACACCATCATCACAAACATCACCACTACCATTATCACCTTCATGGTCATTACCTTTATCATCATCGTCGCCAACTCCGCCACCGTCACCATCATCATCAGCACCATCACCATCATCATCAGCATCATCATTGCCAGCATCATAACCACAATCATCAGCATCGCAGTAATCGTATTCATCATCATCGCAACTAACATCAGCATGATCATCATCACCATCACCAGCATCATCACCATCATCACCACTGCCATCCTCACCCACATCATCACCATGATCGGCAACATTGTCATCATCGCCACCATCACCATCAGCATAATCATCATCCTTACCGTCATCATCTGCACCATCATCATCATCATCATCATCACCGCCATCACCATCACCACATCATCATCATCTTCACCATCCTCATCTGCATCAGTCGTGTCACCATCAGCAAAATCACCATCATGAGCATCGTCAGCATCATCAGCACCACCACCACCAGTACCACCGTCATCACAGTCATCACTCACACTTCCACCACTATCACCAGATTCCTCGCCGTAAACACCAGCAGCATCACAATATTTGTCAGCATCACCATCATCATTATCAGCACCATGATCATCACCATCATGACCATCATCGTCACCACCATCACCACAATCATCACCATCATCACCACCACCATCATCACCTTCATCAGCACCATCATCATCATCACCATCACCATCACCATCACCATCACCGTCATCACCACTTTCACCACCATCCGCATCATCCTCATCATGACCATCATTCACACCATCACCGTCACCATGAGCAGCATCATCACCATCACCATGAGCAGCATCATCATGGCCATCAGCATCACCACCACCATCATCAGCACATTCACCATCATCATCACAAACACCACCACCACCATCAGAATCACCAGCATCACCAGCATCACCAGCATCACCAGCAGCAGCATCAGCGTCATCATCACCGCCATCATCACCATTGTCACCATCATCACCATAATCCCCAACAGCATCATCACCGTCATGATCATCATCATTACCATCACCATCGTTTGTGTCACCACCATCATCCCCATCATCATCATCATCACCATCACCATCATCACCAGAATCCCCACAAGCATCATAATCCCCGCCAGCAGCATGACCTTTATGATCATCATCATTACCATCATCATCTCGTTCGTCACCACAATCATCATCAGCATCCTCATCATCACCATCATCACCATCACAATCATCATCATCATCATCATCATCATCACCATCACCATCACTATCACCATCACCATCATCATCACAATCATCACCACCAGCACTCTCATCATCATCATCATCACCATCATCAGGTTCATCATCGTCGCCACTAGCATCAGCATCATCAGCATCACCATCATCACCATCATCATCACCACCAACACAACCATTTTCGTCATCATCATCACCATTACGATTACCATTGCCATAATCATCATCATCATCATCATCATCATCATCATCATCAGCATCATCATCATCATCATCACTGTCACGATCACCACCGCCATCATCACCATCATCATTATCACCACCACAATCATCACCACCATCATCATAACCATCATCACCATCATCATCATCACCACCAGACTCATCATCATCTTCGTCCCCACAAAACTCATCATCATATTCATCCGCCTCACCAGCATCATCACCATCATAATATCATCACCATGGTCATCATCATCATCATCATCGTCGTCACGACCACCACCATCATCATCACAATCATCACCAACAGCATCATCACCATCCTCAACCTCATCACAAACACAATCATCATCATCATCACAATTAGGACCACCATCACCATCATCATCATCACAATCACAGTCATCATCATCGCCGTCATCATCATCATCATCTCCACCAACATTATCGTCACAAACGTTATCCTCATGATCGTCTTCAGCACAGGCAGTATCGCCGTCATCACCATCACCACAATCATCATCAGCACCATCATCGCCATCATCATCCCTTCCTCCATCACTGTCAACACTATCATCATCTTCTGCATTATCACCATCATCATCACCACCATCACCATCATCAGACCCATCATTATCACCATCATCATCATCATCATCATCATAGTCACCACCATCGTCGTAACCACCAGCATCATCAGAATCACCATCCTCATCACCATCATCACCATGACCATCATCACCAATATCATTCTCATCCTCATCACCATCATCACCATTGCCGTCACCGTCATCCTCACCACCATCATCCTTGCCCCCCCCCTGGGGCCCGCCGCCGACTGGGGCCCCGGGAGCGCGCAGGCCTGCATCCGGTTGCCGCCGCCGCCCGCGTCCGCCTCCCCGACCTCGGCGCGCCCGCCGCGGGGCCGAGGGCCGTACACGCCCGGGAGAGCGACGGCAGCACACGGGGTCGTTGGCGCCCACGCTCGTGCTCGTGAGCTGCGCAAGCTGGTGGCGCAGCTGCTGCTCTCGCCGAGGGCGGGGCGCCAACATCTCCGGATCGCTCCACAAGCTCGGTCAAGGAACTCCTGTCGGTGGCGCGCACAAGGGGGCAGGGGGAGGGGGGAAGGCTTCTCAGAAGGAGGCTGCTTGTTAGAAGCGCTGGCTCTGCATCTGCAAAGAAAGCTCGCGTCTTCTAAGAAGGCCCCCTGGTGGTTCTGGGGCCATAGCTGGGGCCTCCACGGCCATTCGGGACGATTCTCGGCGAGGCGCAGCCGCTGGAAGGCATCCCGAGGCCAGAAAACCGCCGAGAGCAGACGAATGCGTCCAGAAACCCTGGGCCTCGAACGTCGAACCTCTGCTTTCTGCCCCAGCAATGACGCGCAGCGGCAGGGGATCCCTTCCAGTCAACCTGGGGACACAGAGCTCCCCTGACCCTCGGCCACAGCCGAACGTCTCCTGCACACCATGCCACCAGCCTTCGAGACCAGCATCACGAGTACGACGGCTCGCGTCGCAAAGATCTCGTGCAGCACCGATCTCCGAAGAGCACGCTGTCCCTGCGAGGCGACCCCCCCGAGGCCCCTGCCGTGCACGCCCACCCCCCGTCAGGGCTTTTTTTGTTCTGCAGTGCACGCGATCCCCGGGGTTGGGGAACAGCGTGTGGCAAGCGGGCCGGTGGCGCCACGTCGCACGCTGTCGCAGCGACGACAGCATAGGGGGCAAGCAGACCTACCTCGCTTTTGACCGCCCTCGCTTCCAAGAGGTACCAGGCGATGCCAAACTGCGGCCTGTACTGGTCAGGCCGCTTGACGAGGAGGCGCGTGGTATGACTTGCTTTTGCCTGGAAGCGAAAGCGGGGTAGGTAATTCTCGCTCTGACAACAGGTCAGCACGGTGCCTGCAATAATGGCAAGACAACTGTACAGAAAAAGGATGCCAACAAAAGGAACCCGTGAGTGCGTACACCAATTTGGCTTTACCAGCGGCACTCGCACAGTTAGCCCTCGCGGGCAGGCGTACAGAGAAATCCAGGAGGAAGGCAGGCAACAGTGAGGGATCCACAGCTGGACCGAGATGGACGTCAGACCACAGCACGAGTCTCCAGTGGAGCGACACACTCGGATACACCAAATATGTGAAACACGCTGCAAAAGCCAGTATCAGAAGAGCGTGACTAGTGTATCAAATCCTCGGACCTCCGATAGCCCCCAAGTGGCACGAATTTGATCACTCTCGTGGCAGCCGTCCCATAGCCCACTGGAACCATTCCATAACCTGTGGGATTAATTTGTCGTGCGAGCTGTAGGTTGTCGTACCCATAGAAGTCTAGGACTTGCCTTTGCTCTTGATGGACCCCTTCTTGCCCTTCTACGACGAGGGCGGGTAGTCCCAGGAATCACTCTTCGAAGGCTTGCTCTTCCCCTTGCCCTTGGAGCCTGCGTCCTTGCCCTTGCCGTTGTCCGTGTCCTTGGTACCGATACCGCTACCCCCCTGACCTCGCCCGTGGTGCGTTCTGCCTAAAATTTCGAGGCGGATCCAGCGGTGGCGACGAGGGCCTCACAGGAGGCCCAAAAAGGAGAAAGCGGGCGAAGGGTAGCGGTATGGGTACTTTTTCCTCCTCCGAGCCTTGCTATTGAGGAATAGGCTGCTCAACGGGCCCGCGTTGCGCGAGTCGGGGTCGCGCCATATCTCGCAGCCAGGCCTGCCCTCCCAGAGCTTCGCAACCGCGTCGAACGCCCCACAGGCCGGGAGCTGAATGAGCACGCTCAGCCGCGGCTCCAGGCCATCCAGCACGCGCTCGAGCAGGACCCAGGCAAGGCAGTCATCGAGCTCCGCGTCCATGAAGAAGTGCGTTGGGATCCAGGGCTGGACCTAAACGGTGGTTGTCTTGCTGGTTTCGGTTTGTTGTTTGTTTTGCTCTACCTGTTTTCCTGTACCTCCCTCCCAAAACGAAAAACAATACACAGCCGGAGTCCAGCAAAACAGCGTTTGGGTCCAGCCCTGTTGGGATCCAAAGGCTTGCGGTATCCTTGGCGTCCACTCGCCTGTAGAACGCGTCAATCCTGTCGGCGATATCGACGTCGCTGAGGCCTTCTGGGTCCTCACTAGTCATAGCGAAGACCAGGTTCACGACATCGACAAGACACCCCTCGGGACCATAGGCACCCAGCGCCTTTCCCAGCCACCTGCACGCATGCGCCTCGAAGGTGACTGTCTCACCGTCTTCCCTTGTGAAAGTCGCCCTCCGGACTGTGTCTGCAACCTCTTTCTCAAACCCGAAGTTGCCGAGAAGGTGGTCGAAATGCATTCTGGCCTTCCATCCAGGAGCGACGTGCCTGTCGACGAACGCATCCCAATCGCTCATGCTGCTGATCGATGCCCCATCGAGCGCCTCAAACTCCTCCACGAACTGTGACAACCTCTGTGTCGCAGCCGCGCTGCTATCCGCGATCTCCGAGGTCTCCCGGCAGTGTCTTATCATGTCGTGCACCTTCGACATCTTACCCTGGATAAACTTATTGAGAGTGTTGGGAGGCACGTGAACATTCAGGCGGTCCGCAAGACTCTTCATCTCGGGAGACTTGTACATGTTCAACACCGCGTTGCTGATGTTCGGGCCGAATGCCGGGGCATTGATCCTCTGCACCTTTGTGGGGAACTCCAGTCTGCCTGCGTTGTTGAAGGGTGGCAGCGAAAATTTGATCTCGCTCGCGGCATCCGACTCCAGCACTGGCGACAGCCACTTCTGCCTCGCGGCCTCATGGCCTGGGGTCAGGTGCGAGCTCCAGAAAACCCGCACGCTTTTCTCCGCCCCCGGACTCTCGTGGAGTAAGTCCATCGATCGAGGCGCTTACTAGACCAAGTCGCAAGCCTGCCGGCCTTGCCCACAACTGCTTGAGCCAAAACGGTTACCGTGAACACGAATGGAGATCTTGGCAAACCGTGTGCATACTAGGCCGACGCCCGTGACTGCCCTCGCAGCCGAGACGGTGAGCAAGCAGACGGCGATGCGCATCGTGTGCCCTTGCCGCGCCCTGGTTGCAAGGTCCGTTTGCTAGGTTCAGGTGATGGGCCTGTTTTCCACCACCACCATCAGATGGATGGGGGAAAGAAAAAGGAGGACGAGGAGGAGGACGAAGAGGAGGAGGACGAAGAGGAGGAGGAGGAGGAGGAGGAGGAGAAGGAGGAGGAGGAGGAGGAGAAGGAGGAGGAGGAGGAGAAGGAGGAGGAGGACTCCCTCCCCTCCAACTTCTGGTGATGGTGGCGGAAAACAGGCCCATCATCAGGCGACATCAGCCCAAAAACGAGAGGGTCGCAAAGACGCCGTCGGTGACACGGCAGTCTCAGATCGGGCCGCAGCCGAGAGCCCTCGGGCGCCGAGGGCCGGCGCCTCGCAGAAGCAGCGCGAGGACTGGCCGAGCTGCACTTCTACGGCGAGGCGCCTCGAGCATCAGCGGCGCGAGCGGCGCGGTGGAGCAGAGAGTGCGCGGACGCAGGGCGTCAGTGGAGGATGACGAGACGGGGAAGGGCTGAGGAGGAAGGGCGGGGCGCGCCCGCGCGTGCGCGCCGCTCGGCACAGCAGGGTGTGCACAGTCCGCCTGGGTGGCCATGGCGCTCTTGAAGGTGGGCAGGGATTGCGGGGTCGCCGGGTCAGCCGTCGCCACCCAACTCCTGCGGCTTGCCCACTCGGCCCCTTGATCCATCCTTGCACGACCCAGCGCGGCTCCCAGCATGAGTTGTGCATGTGCTGGCATCCGTGACCAGTACGTGCGAGGTGTGCAGCGACGAAAAGGGGCACAATCGAAAAACAGCCACGCGCTGAATGAAGTTGCATGCTGGCTGCCTCGTGCTTTTACAAAAGACGGTACCTCAAACTAAACTCCGACTTTCCCGCGATGGATCGACGAATTAAAATTGGAGTATGGTTAGGTCGGGCATGTCCCCCTGCAGGCGGATTTTGGACGAAACATGACAATCGTCAAAAAATGCTCTCAAATAGCTTAAGATCGTAAAAAATCGTCCCCTGGCTGTTTTTGGACTATTTTTAAATACTCCTCCTGTAGAGGGACACGCCCGACTTAAGAGTATGACTGGTCCTGCTAGAAGGCAGGGATACGTGCAGAACCCCAGTCGCCAGGCAGAAGCAAACACACACATCGCTGCGACAGAGCCGCCAGCGTTTCCGAAAATACAGTGTATGTTGAACCACGTATGGCGCTCGTTGCCTCAGATATCATTACCATCATCATAAGCATCAGTATAACCGTCGTCATCAGCAGCAGCAGCATCATCGTCGTTATCATCATCGCCACCAGCATCATCATCATCATCATCATCATCATCATCATCATCATCATCATCATCATCATCATCATCATCATCATGATCATCATCATCATCATCATCATCATCATCATCATCATCATCATCATCATCATCATCATCATCTTCGCCATCACCACCATCATCATCATCATCATCAACACAATCATC